CAGGGCCAGACTCCTTGAGAAGGCAGTTGGGCATTTGTCCAGAGCCTGTGGGGCCTGACCCGGGCTTCTGAGAGGAGCTGAGGCAAGCCAGCTGACTGCCCGGGTGTCCTGCCATCACTGGAATTGGCCTAGCCTATTTTGTGGCTGTGGCCCAAGCCCATGCAAGCCCAAGGCAAAATTAGTTACTATCTTTTCCTGATGATTATGAGCAGACAGAACTTTTGTTCAGTCATACATACTGAGAAAGATTGCACTGTCCTCTGAATGGCCTTTATTTCTCCTTAGGAAAGTGACAAATGGTTGCTGGCTGGTACAGGTTAGGAAAGCTTAACTTTATACAGTTGTAACCTAACTATATTACTGAATCAGATAGGTTAACCATAGTAACACATAGACCCCAAATGATAATTGCTCAAACACAGGAGAAGCTTAGTTCTCTTGTGAACAGATTAGCGAGGTGGCTCTTTTCCACATAGGATCCCAGGTATCAACATGTAGCTTCTAAGGTCACCCAAGGGCTTCATCTTCAGTCCAGCCAGCCAGAGGGGAAAGGGAGCAAGGAAAGAGAGCTTAGGAGGATTTTTATGGATCGTCTTGGAAGTGGCATAATCACTTGCACACACAACCCATTGACCAGAACTTAGTCCTACGCCACACCTAACTACAAGGGAGGTTGCAAAATGCATATAGCTGTGTCCCTAAAGATTGGAGAACATGAATAGTTAGCAATCTTGGCCACACAAAGTTTTGGTACTGCCGAATTTTAGGGAATTTGAGTGATAACACTTATTTGTCTGTGTAGTGTCTTACTCATTTAAGAGTAATTTACTGAGTTCGGACCCAGTGTTGGGTGCTAGGGCTACAGCAGTGAGAAGATCACTCTTTCCCTCGTGGAGCTTGCAAGTTGGCAGAGAAGCCAACAATGAGAAAGCATACTGACAGCCATTTTGAAAGGGGAAATGCAGGACACTATTAGGGGCCCAGTTTAATCATGAGGGACTGATGAATGATGTGCAAACTGACAGTTAATGGGTGCTGTTGTGGAGTTTGGATGTGTGGCTTTTGGATACGTCAGCAGGGAGGGGTGGGATAGAGGGAGGAAAAGCGATGCATGAAGGAATGCCTGACTTCCTTCCGGTGATGCTGTGGCTCCATGGGGTCCCAGTGCTTTCTTCCGCTCTCTCCTCTGTTGACCCCCCTCTTCCTATCCCCCTTTTCCTTCCCTCAGGTGAGTGTAAAGAACCTCATTTGATTCTCTCCTCTCTTAGCAGGTATGTTGGAGACAGTGAGCTGTTCTCGTCATGTCATGCTTTTCTGTTGTCAGTACTTCTTTGGATCAGTCATGTTGACCGTCTTGCTGGGGGTGGCTTGGCAGTTTAGGGAAAGTGATGGTTAACGAAGAGCATATGGAGATGGAAGACAAATAAGGATTAGCAATCTAAGTCTGGGGCTTCACTTCAGGAGGGAAGAGAGGCCACTAACCAGTACATTTCAATGTCAAGGAAGGGAAATAAATAACAGAGGTGCCTTCTGTTAGCGGGAGGACAGTATCTGTTTTCTTCTCTTCTCACCCTTTGCTTTTCTTTCTTTACCCATATTTATTTTTCCTTTTTATCCTAGGTTCTGATTTTTTTTTTTTTTTGCTTTCTTTTTTCTTCCCCACCTTCCTGTGTCTTTTGATGGGTTGCTTCTTCTTTGATATTTATATCACCTTTGATTAGGTGATCCTGCTATGGGAAACAATCTCATTTAGCTTTGCCTCTTGGTGTTTTTCCAAGCTTTATTTCCCGCCGGCAGTATTCATGGACCCTATGGATCAAGCGAAGTTTTTCAACCCATTGATATTTATTTTTTTCTCACCTCTCCACTGTTCCCGTCCCATCTGCCCTTTTAGACCTATTGTTTCCTCCACTGAGTTGTCTTAATTCTCCCTTCCTTTCTGCTGTCTCTTCTGCCACCTCCCTACCCAGCCCAAGAAACCTCTATCTGCTCTCACCTCCCATAGCTCCTTTATCTCACTGACTACTTTACTTGAGCTATTTACTTTTGAGAGACTATGTGCTCAATGACATGGTGGCCATGTCATTCATTCTCTTTGGCTCAGTGGCCCCGTTCAGCCTTTGCAGCACATGTTGAGTGAATGACTAAACCTTGCTTTCTTACTCATGTTGAGCCAATTCGTGGTGGCCCATTTTTCATTTCTGCCAATGAGGACACATTGTCCATTAGTGTCTGGCTTTGTTAGTGTCCCTCAGGTCTCAGTTGTAAGACTGAAAGTTCTCTGTGTAAGATTGAAAATCTATAGGTGGATTTGAGGAGCCACTGAAGAATCAGGAAGGGCACTCTTAGTCTTCTTGTGGTTTCTCTGGCTAGTGGCATGCCTGGGCCTGGAAATGTGGGAAGACAGTGTACACTCTGAGAAATCCATTTAAATGGACCGACATGTGGTTGATAACTAGAAAGATTTTAGAAGCCTTTATCAGACTTCAGACTAACAAATGGAGCTCGAGGTGGAGTATCTGAATTCAAAATGAATGCACAGATCCCGAAAACCAAAATTTGAACTCAATAAAGTCATTTTTGGGAACATGACACCAACAGACAGTTGTACAGTGTCATACTGGAATGGGGACAGAGATAATTAGTGCCTGTCATTGGTGAGTGGTGAAGACAGGGAGGGAACCATTCCATGTGAGAAGGGGTTGAAAAAACTGTTTCAGTTTTAGTTTATGTTTTAGACCGGAGAAGGACAAGAGAACTACCTTAAATAGTTCAAATGTTGTCAAGTTAAATGGAACTAGACTTACCATTGTATCAGTGGTTGAAAGCTACAGAAAATATTTCCAGCTCAAAATATAAGAAATAACTTAATAGACAGAGCTGTATAAAGAAGTGATGAGCTGACTTGACAAGTAATAAACTCCCTGGAAGACCACTAGACTGGTGGTTCTAAAGGAGACCAGTTGTGGCACATGAATTACTCTTCTACCCTGTACCCTTACCCAACATTGCTAATGGTTTATGATAGTTTTTTTTCTTTGAGTCTTAAAGACCAAAATTTCTTCTTAGGACAGCACTATTAAATTGGAGTCGGCTTTTAAATAGAAACCTCCTTCCCCTGCCTGGACTAGGTGATGTTTAAAGTCTTTTAACAGCCGTGAAAGACTACAATTCTAAGATTTGTAAGTCTCACGTGATAGCATACCCATGGTATTTATTTCTTTTTTGAAGTATCATTAACAGTTATGAATACACACAAACACACACACACACACACGTTATCGTACCAAAGAAAATCAACAATAATTCATTGGTATCTTCCAATACCCAGTGCATATTCAATTTTATTCTGTCCTCAGTAGCTTCAAAACTTTTTTTTACAGTGATTATTTTAATCCATCTAATTTATACAACAAAATGATTTTGTCCGGCTGTTAATGTTTATTATTTTCCCTAGTAGGATTTGGCCCAAGTATATTGATGCATTTTGCTTGCACTCTCCAATTCCAAGATATGAAGGGATGATATGTGAATGCAATAGAATAAATCTTGAGGTGAAAGCTAAGCTTACATTGGTAAACAACTTATAATGAAAAAAGGGGAGACAACCATTAAAGCTTTAGTTTTTAACTATAAACATCAATTTGGGTGATAGTGGCCTGCTACTCTCAAGATCCAGGTGAGAAAAAAGAACTGTACCAACAAGGTATGACGAGAGTTTTCTAAAAATAAATAAGACAAATTACCAATAGTAAACTTGTAATTGTACTGTGTGTGTGTTTGTGTAGGGTTGTTGTACTATTTCTTTATATCAAAATGATCACACAAGTCTAGTTAACAGATTCTATCACCTCACATAACTACAAAATTTTTTTTCTTATCATGAGAACTTTTAAGATCTATTCTCTTAGCAACTTTCAAATATGTAATACGGTATTATTAACTATGGTCACCATGCTGGACACTATATCCCCATGACTTACTTATTTTATAACTGGAAGTTTGCACTATTTCTTCTAAAAATAGAATATATTTTTTGAATCCACTCAGAAGGGTGCAATATGGCTCTACCTAAAGACCCTTGAGTGATAAATTTAATACCTTCTTTAAATTTTTCTCAGCTTGATTCTATCTTGTCAGATTCCCTAGAACATTAGGAATACAGACTATATAGCACAGCATTTAGGAAAATTTTGAAATTTATTTATTTGAAAGAGAGAGAGATTATGAGCAGGGTGAGGGGCAGAGGGAGAAGCAGACTTCCTGCTGAGCAGGGAGTGGAACTCGGGGCTCAGGGCTCCATCCCAGGACCCTGGGATCATGACCTGAGTCGAAGGCAGATTCTTAACAGACTGAGCCACCCAGGTGTTCCTGCACTATTTCTTTTAGAAATAGAATATATTTTTTGAATCCACTCAGAAGGGTTCAATATGGCTCTACCTAAAGACCCTTGAGTGATAAATTTAATACCTTTAAATTTTTCTCAGCTTGATTCTATCTTGTCAAATTCCCTAGAACATTAAGAATACAGACTATATAGCACAGCATTAAAAAAATTTTTTTTAATTTATTTATTTGAAAGAGAGAGAGAGAGAGAGCATGAGCAGGGGGAGGGGCAGAGGGAGAGGGAAAAGCTGACTGCATGCTGAGTAGGAAGCATGATGAGGATTCGATTCCAGGACCCAGAGATCATGACCTGAACCGAGGGCAGATGCTTGACTGACTGAGTGCCCCTAGCACAGCCTTTTAAGCTTCTAGATTTTTGAGTGTTTTCCCTCACTTACATGTATCTTACTTGATTTTTTAATTTTTTTTTTCCAGAAAGTATTGATAGGGGCGCCTGGGTGGCTCAGATGGTTAAGCGTCTGCTTTCCGCTCAGGTCATGATCCCAGGGTCCTGGGATTGAGTCCTGCATCGGGCTCCCTGCTCAGCGGGAAGTCTGCTTCTCCCTCTGCCTGCCCCTCCCCCTGCTCGTGCTCTCTCTCTCTCTCTCTCTCTCTCTCTATCTCTGTGTCTCGCAAAAAAAAAAAAAAGAAAGGAAGTATTGGTAATAGAGATAAAAACCTGAGATATTTTGTTAGCTTAGAGATCTGGGCACTTTCTAAATTAGAGTTAAATCAGAAACTGCTGGGCACAAGGAAGCTGCAGGCTGGAGTGGCAAACCCTCGTCCCACAAGTCACAGAAGCATGCTGACCCATTCCGCTCTCACTGAGTGTTGCTTTGCAGGATTGCAGGCTTGGTGTGGCCCAGACTTACATTTTTAAGAGAAAATACAGGAACTCTTTAAATTGTTACGTGTTGGTTCCAAAAAGTGATCCAACATTGTTGAGGCCAAAGAAAACACATCTGTGGGCCAAATCTGCCCTGCAGGCCACCGTTTCGCTAACCGTGGATGAGATCAGCAAATATTCCGCAGTTAAGGTTTCTCTGGCCACCTGTGTCTGGAAATCCAAAGCGTGAAGCCAATGGTCTCATGTTCTGGAGAGAGCAGTGGTCTGTGTTCTTCAAATGTTGACAGTATTTCTGGCTCACTGGCCTACGGGGAGGCTGGTGGTCCCTTCCTAGCTCCAGGAGGGGTGCTTTTTGTTCTGAGGGTAGGTGCCTCTCGCTCAGCACGTGCCTGGCAATACTGTCACATCTCCTGCTCCTTGTTGGACCACTGCCCGGGATGTGGGGCTGTGGTTTGGAAGCTATGACCTGTGTCCTGTAGAGAATGATTCATGAACTCCAGACGGCACTGAGCAGGCTGCAGCGATGTGGCCTCACGGCCATTTAAAATGTGTGAAGGCAGGTCTGGTTAGCATCACTCCTAATGATCCTCCAGGGGACGCCCGACAGTGTGAGGCTCCATTTCTTCAGTACTGGCCTTGGAGGTACAAGAGTCATCCTCCGTGAATGATACATCTTACAAGGGTATGCGATTTGTACCATCCAGATAATAGAGATAGTTGTTTGGAACTCTGGAAACACTCCAAGTGTAATGCCCTTAGTATTCCTTTGCTAAACATTGTTACAGCACAAAGAAAAATCTTGCATTTAAAAGAGGTACATTGTAAATAGCTTGAGAATGTGAACATCTCTGGGATAAAGGGTTATGGCTCTTTTTTTTTTTTTTTCCACATTAGATACTACATTTGAGGGGAGGATGTAAATATGAATAAATGAGCTGTATTTTTCTTTGAGTCTTCTCAATCTATGTATAAATTCAGTGCAGTTGAATTTGGAGGGGGGGTGCGGATAGGACTTTGGCTCCGGAAATGTGATAAAATCTTCTAAACTTCAGTATCTAGAGGAATAGACATGTGAGAAGACTCTTAAAAAAGAAAATCAATGAAGGGAGAGTCTCACAAAATCTATTAAAACAAATTATAAAAGTATAGCAGTTAAAACAGTGTGTTACTGGCACAGGAATAGACAACTAAATTAGTGGAGCAGAGAGTCCAGAATTAGACCCAAGTGTATATGGACAGTTGGTATAAAACAAAGGAAGCTTTGGAAACCACAGGGATGACATGGATTACTTAATAAAGGGTGTCGAGACAAAGGGCTGATCAAAAGCTGAACCTTTCCCTAATTTCTTATACCAAGATAAATCTAGAGGTAGAAAATAAAAAGATGGAAGTAGTGGAATAAAAAAAGGGAGAAATATTTTTTTCAGTTGAGGGGAAGGGCTTTCTAAGCAGAATAGGAAAGATAAAAACGAAGATGGAAAATGTGGATACCTTTGAATATATAAAAACTGTGAACTTCTGTGTATTAAATCATCACCAAAAACAAGATTAAAGGATAATCAAAGATAGGTACACTATCTGTGAAAAGCATTAATATTCCTAATATATAAAAAAAACTTGCAAATTATTTAGAGAAAGGTAAACACCTTACTAGAGAAATGGGCAAAGGACACACAGAGGACACTCACCAAAATAAAAATGCAGATAGCCAAAACATTATATGAAAGGGTGTCCAATCTCGACTTCACCCAGAACCCAAGAGTTCAAATACAACAGCCCCACGGTGCCCGTCAGAGCAGCAAAAGGGAAAAATAAGACCTCAAGGAGGGTGTAGTTGAAGGGACACTCTGAGGCCTTTTTGGAGAAAGTTTAATTTGTACTCACCTTGGGAGGGTTTGGCAGTCTGTATCCACATTCAGCTGTGTACACCCTTTGACACAGCAACACGACTCCTGGGAATATACCGTAAGGGAAATCACTGAACAGCAATATATATATATATATATATATATATAAATATTTGTTGCTTTGTATTTTATAATAAGAAATTGGAAATTACTAGTACTTTATGTCTTAACTATACTTCAGGACATATGTATGTGGCAATATTATGCTATCTTTAAAAGGGGTGGTTTATGTCAATTTTTACTTATTACGTATATTTATTGATAGGTAAGATCTTCAAGATATTTTTATGAATGGAACAGCCAGTTGTTAAACAGAGCATATCATATGCATATATAAATATGTAAATATAAATATATATATATTTAAATATAAGAAGCGGTCTAGAAGAATATTCTCCAAAAGTTTAATTATAGTTGAACCTGGGTAGTGGGATGTTTGCTTTTTTGTTTATTCCTTCGTGTGTTACTGATATTTTTTTGTTGATAAATGGGAAAAACATGTATTATGTATTATGTTGATAAATGGGAAAAACGAATACATTTATATAACACACACACACACACACACACACACACACACACACACACACACCACACCACACACACCACACACGAAAGCCAACAAACCAGCTTGCCAACTTGCTCATATTTCATATAAGGGCATGACTTTTTAAATGCACTTATCCTATTTGTCTGTTTACGTGAGTGTAGAACGTACCTCAGTGTCATGGTGCTCATCACCCATAGCGACAGACCGAGAGTTGTCCCCATCTCATGTTACATTATGAGGGGCTTTCCTGTGGTATTAGTTGGAGCCTGAGGGATGGTGGTAGGAGCTGTTGTCCCTTCAGTAGGGTTCTTTTCTTCTACCATCATGTTTCCCCCTTCTGGAGGAATTTCAGGGAGGACCCCCTGTTTTGATATTGAAGATGGAAAATATATGAGATTCTGGACAGCAGTATTGTAAAACTGCATGTCTTTTTACTTAGCCATGTGAACAACATTTCATTTCATAAATTCTGGGAAAATAATTTTTAAAATAGAAATATAGTTGACATATAACATTGTATTAGTTTAAGGTATACAACATAATGATTCAATATTTGTATACATTGCAAAATGATTGCCACAATAAGTCTGGTAAACATCTGTCGGCATATACGATAATAAAATATTTTTTTCCCTCACGATGAGAACTTTTAAGATCTACTCTCCTAGCAACTTTCAAATATGCAATACAGTATTATTAGCTATAGTCACCAGGCTGTATATCTCCATGATTTATTTATTTTGTAACTGGAAGTTTGTATTTTTTGACGCCCTTCACCTATTTCTCCTACCCCCCCACCCCATCTCCTGCCTCTGGCAACCACCGTCTGTTCTCTTTATCTATGAGGTTGGTTTAGTTTAGTTTAGTTTTTCATTCCACATGTAAGTGAGATCATATAGTTTTTATCTCTCACTGACTTATTTCACTTACCATAATGCTCTTAATGTCCATCCATGTTGTTGCAAATGACAAGATTTCCTTCTTTTTTTTTATGGTTAAATAGTTTTCCATTGTGTATATGTGTGTGTGTGTGTGTGTGTGTGTGTGTGTGTGTGTGTGTGTGTGTCTATATATACACACACACAACATTTTCTGTGTTCACTCATCCATCAATGGACATTTGGGTTGTTTTCATATCTTGGCTATTGTAAATAAGGCTGCAGTGAACATGGGGTGCATATGTCTTTTTGAGTTAGTGTTTTTGTTTTCATAGGATAAATACCCAGAAGTAAAATTGCTGAATCACATGGTAGTTCTATTTTTATTTTTTTTGAGGAACCTATGAACTATTTTCCATAGTGGCTGTAACAGTTTACATTCCTACCAACAGTGCATGAGGGTTCCCCTTTCTCCACATCCTCGCCAACTCTTGCTATTTCTTATCTTTTTGATAATAACCATTCTGACAGATGTGAGGTGATCTCTCAGTGTGGTTTTGATTTATATTTCCCTGATGATTAGTGATGTTGAGCACCTTTTCATGTTCCTGTTGGCCATCTGTATGTCTTCTTTGGAAAAATACCTATTCAGATCCCCTGCCCATTTTTAAATTAGATTGGGGTTTTTTGCTCCTGGATTGTATGAGTTCTTTATGTATTTTGTATATTAACCCCTTAACAGATATATGATTTGCAAATACTTTCTCCCATTCAGTAAGTAGCCTTTTCTTTTTTCTTTTTTTTATTATGTTCAATTAGCCAGCTATCATTAGTTTTTGATGTAGTGTTCAACAATTCATTACTTGTGTGTAACACCCAGTGCTAGTAACCACATGTGCTTTTTTTTTTTTTGATGATTTCTTTTGTTGTGCAGAAGCTCTGTAGTTTGATGTAGACCTGCTTATTTATTTTTGCTTTTGTTGTGTTTGCCTTTGGTGTCAGATTCAGAAAGTCATTGCCAAAGCCAATGTCAAGGAGCTTACCACTTCTGTTTCCTTCTAGGATTTGTATGGCTCAGGTCTTAGATTTAAGTCTTTAATCTATTTTGAGTTCATTTTTGTGTGAGGTGCAAGATAGTCATCCAGTTTCATTCTTTTGCATGTGCCTGTCCAGTTTTCCCAACACATTTATTGAAGAGACTGTCCCTTCCCCATCATATATTCTTGGTTTTGTTGTTATAAATTAATTGACCTTATATATGTGGGTTTATTTCTGGGCTCTCTCTTCTGTTCCATTGATCTGTGTGCCTGTTTTAGGCCAATACCATACTGTTTTGAATACTATAGCTCTTTAGTATAATTTGAAACAGGGAGTGTGAAACCTCCAACTTTGTCCTTCTTTCTTGAGAGTGTGTTGGCTATTTGGGCTCAAAAAATAATTTTTGATCATTAGTTTCAGTTAGGATAAAAATTGAGTACAAGTTTCCAGACACTTCTTGATTTTCTAATTTCTTTTACATTGAGAATATACTTGTAATCAGAAGAAATTTTAAAGTTTTGTGGAAAAGAAAAAAAACTGTGGAAAAGAGATAACTCATATTTTAAAAATGAATCAGAGATGATCACATACTCAGATTATTCTTAAAAGACATGCTTAAGTTAAAAGGATATAAAGTATATTTTAGTTTGATTAGCTGTGCTGGCCCTGATTTTTACCAAGGATATGTTACTTTCTATTTCAAATGTTAAATAACCATATAATTATGACAGCCAGAGGACTTTCCAACTGTAGTTTTATAGACATATTATTATTACAGCTGACCTTAAAAGAAAAGAAAGAAATACAAAGAGCTTAAATGTAGATGTTACTCAGTGAGGGTAGAAACCTGGGGGAGGGGGTGGGGTTTTTCTCAAGGAGGTTGCATGGCTGGTTATAGTCAGGTCGCTTGCCAACTTTCTGCTTAAAAGGATGTTCCTGGCAGTTGGTCTAGGATAGTATGGGTACTTTGCTGTGTACTTTCTAAAGTCATCGGGAGGTAATACAGGCTACCTTCTCCTTCTCCTTTAGTCTCCCTTCTTCAACACCTCCCTGGCTTTCCCTACCCACACATGCACAGATTCGCTTTCTGATATAACCCCTTCACAACCAGACCTGGTATGTCCCCGCTTCATATATTTTACTTGTTGGCACATAATCTGTATCAGTCACACTAAAATGCATGCATGGAGGGAAAAGAACACTGGGCTAACCTCAGAGGCAGAAGCCTCTTCATCTACTCAGACCTCACTTCCCTGTCTGTACAATGGCCACCATAACACACTTTTTATAAGGTTATAGCTAGGGAAATGAAATGGTGTATGTATCTCTGTTAGGATTAGATTTGGCTGCATTTGACAAAAAACCAGTAACCGTAAAATAGTAGCTTTTAATAAAGTAGAAGTTTATTTTACTACAAAATAGAAGTTCATTTATTTCCTATATACAAGTCTAGAGACAGGCTGTCCAGGACTAGCATGATACTTTGTGGTTATAGGAGCCAGTCTTTATCTCCTCTTGTGCTGCCGTTCTTGGCAGGTGGCTTCTACCTCATTGCCCAGAATGACCACTTGAGTTCCAGCCATCACATCCAAATTTCAGCTAGGAGGAAGGAGGTTGGTGGAAGAGGGGTGTGCCTCCTTTCTCTAAGGATTCTTTCACGAGGATTGCTTACATATTGTACAGAACCGTATCAGGTGGCCATGTACTCAGCTCAAAAGCAGCATTTATTATGAAAGAAAGATGTGGGGGCAAATCAGCAGTCTTTGCCATGGTATATGAAAGACTTTTGTGACCTCTGAAATGCTTCAAGTACAAAACAAATTTATGTAAATTGCCATAAAGCAACCTCACTACATTCACCCATTCACCAAGTGTTTATTAGCTATTTACTGGAGACGTGGCATGAGGACCGGCACCCCATCCACTTCCTCATATATTTCTTAGTCAATTAATGTTGTCTCCCAAGAAAAGGGTTTGAGGGATTCATGTAGCTGTGATTTTCCCCCACTTTGCCGAGCATGTGGGAACAGAACTTTCGCTAAGGTACTATATCCCTTTCTTTGGGAGGAGGGAAAGAGAAGGGTGACATTGGAGCATGTAATAAATGGCAGCTCTCTAGCTCATCAGTATAGACTGCGTGTTTTTCCCTCCAGCTCATAGAGGTCCTGTCTTTTGTCATCAGTGCTTCATGTTGATTTACATCTTGTGTCCTCACTTACTTTGGATAGATGCCTTTTTCCCTATTTAAAGCACATGTGCTGGATTAGCTCTTCATCTTCTGCCCTCTTCCTTTCACATAGGGAACACTGTGTTTGAACAGGCGTGTCTTTTATTTGGGAAGCAAAGATATAAATAAATGGATAGAGAGATCCATCAGTGGGTGGGTGGATGGATAGATGGATAAATATAGATAAGCAAGCAAGCATGCATAACCTAATCGTCAGGCAGCATTGTCCCTTACTGGCTGTTTCTCAGGGGGGCCCCAGAATGTGCAGGACCCCTAAGAAAATAGAATACACAGTCCCAGGCTCAAAATACTCCATTTGGAAGGAATTCAGAGATGTCTAATATCCTTCATTCTAGTTTTTCAGGAATTGATGGTAGTGGGCTTTCTTTTTTTCATCTTGTTTTATTATGAAAATGTTCAGAGTCAGGAAACAGCCACAAACCCACCACTAAGATGGAACAAACGTTAACACTTTGCTGTATTTACTTAATAAAAAACAGAAAATGAAATTTTATAGATGTAGAGCTTTTCTCCCACATAAATGCATGGTCCTTGGGTCATTCATGTCTTTACATAAATCCCACCTTATCTGGGACACTGTCCCCAGTCTTCCTATGTAAACCACCCCTTCTATCAGCCTCCAACCTGGCTTGCTGGCGGTTTTCGCTGCTTGACTTATGTAGTGTATTTATTTGCTTGTCTTCTGTCTGTCTCCCTCCATGGGCATGTCAGCCTGTGCGAGAGCTGGATGTGGCTTTGTTCCTGATGAATCACCTGCGTGTCCAGCGGGGCTGGCGTAAACGAGAAGCCGGTGAACAGAACTCAAGCCTCTTTTAGGCTTCCTGACCCATCGTCTCCCTGCCTGCTTCTCTCCCCTGGGGGAACCACTGTCCTGAAGTTTTATATATCTTCCCCATCCTTGTCTTTATATAATCTAATTTTATTCATCTCTATGTGTGTGCATTATGTATACATACTCCAGAACAATAGATGGTGTTGTGCATCTTTAAAAATATTACATATGCAAACTATTTATATCCTCTGTCACTTGCTTTTTCTCACTCAACATTATGTGTTTGAGATTTATTTATGTGGATACATGAATATTTACTTCATATATTTCATATTCCTACAATATTCCTTTTAGGATTTTATCCCAGTGGGTCTATTTTTGGCCAGAGCCTTTTGTTTTTTAGTTGTTTTTAAAGATTTTATTTATTTATTTTAGAGAAAGAGAAAGCACCCGAGAGCAGAGGGGGAGGGAGAGGGACAAGCAGACTTTGCACTGAGCACAGAGCCCGACCCGGGGCTGGATCCCACAACCCTGAGATCTTGACCCAAGCTAAAACCAAGAGTTGGTTACCCAGCTGACTGAGCCACCCAGGCTCCCCTTGGCCAGAGCCTTTTAATATCAAGATTTCACCTTTCTTTTGTCAGGGACTCTCTGAGTTTGACCTGTGGTAACAATTGTATCAATTCTAGAAATGGGTTAGAAAATGGATAATATGGTAAATTTTATGTGTATTTTACCATAATTAAAATATTTAAAAACTTATACCAAATTGTATACTTGGGAAAAAAATAAATTAGAAGGGGAACCAAGTTAAGTGTGTTCAATAAGAATTGTACTCTGTAAAAATAAAATCACTGTAAATGGTATTTTTAGGGAGTGAATTTTACTCAGCACCATTGAATATGTTTATTTATAAAATTCTCTTTTTCAAGGAATTATGATTTCATTCTTGGTACTTTTAGAGAGAGGGAGAGAGAGAGAGAGATGGGGAGGGACAGAGGGAGAGGGAGAGAGAATCCCAAACTGAGCGTGGAGCCAGATGCAGGGCTCGATCTCACAACCCTGAGATCATGACCTGAGCTAAAATCAAGAGTCAGACGCTTAACCTACTGAGCCACCCAGGCATCCCTCAATCTTAGTACTTTAGAAAATAGATTTCCCTCAAAGAAGACAAACAGATGGCCAGCAGGTACATGAAAAGGTGCTCAACATCACTAATCATCAGGGGGATACAAATGAAAACAACAAGCTATCACCTCATACCTGTTAGAATGGCTAATATTAAAAAGGCAAGTTGGTGCAGCCACTGTGGAAAAGAGTATGAAGGCTCCTCAAAAAGTTAAATATAGTGCTACCCTATGATCCAGCAATCCCACTTTGGGGAATATTTCCAAAAGAAATGAAATCATCATCTTGAAGAGATAACTGCATTCTTATGTTCATAGCAGAATTATTAACAGTAGCCAAGGTGTGGAAACAAACTAGCTATCTGTGGATGGATGAATGGATAAAGAAAACGTGATACACACACACACACACACACACACACACACACTGGAATATTATTCAGCTAAATATTATTCAGTTAAGAAGGAGGGAAGTCCTGTCATTTGCAACAACATGGATGAACCTGTGGGATTTTATGCTAAATGAAAAAATAAATAGACCAAGAAAGACAAACTTTGCATGGTATCACTTATATATGGAATCTAAAAATGAATGAATGAATGAATGCAAATATGTGAGGTGATAGATGTGTTATGTCCATGGGGGGAATCTTTCCACAGTGTATGTATCTATCAAATCATCATGTTGTACACTTTAAATATCTTAACAATTTGTCAGTTATATCTTAGTAAAACTAGGGAAAAAAAGAAAGTAGAATTCCCTCAGATGAATCACATATTTCAATATATAGTCCCCCCATATTAGTAAAGCTTTAGTGGCTTTTCTTTCAAGGAGGAAAAACTAGAGAAGAAATATGTCAAGTTGCTGTACAGTAGTATTTAGAATTCTTGGTTTTCCTTTTTTAAGGTTGTTTTATTTTTTTATTTTTTAAAAATTTATTTATTTATTTGTCAGAGAGAGCACAAGCAGGGGGAGCTGCAGGCAGAGGGAGAAGCAGGCTCCCCTGCTGAGCAGGTAGCCCGATACGGGGCTCGATCCCAGGACCCTGGGACCATGACCTGAGCCGAAAGCAGCCGCATAACCGACTGAGACACCCAGGTGTCCCAGAATTCTTGTTTTTTGACAAGATTCTAGAAGTCAGAGAAGTCCATTTTTGCTATAACATGACAATTTGACTCTAGATATAGGTACAGAATAATTTCAGTGCCTGGGTTTTCTTTAGTACACATTTAAGTATCCTCCTTCTGAGCTTCCTATTAAAAGAATACTTGTTAGAGGACAATGTTTTATTTAAAAAGCATTTTGTAGATTTTGTAGATATAATTGAAAAAGTTAGGAAAGATCTTACCATCTATAATTTTGAATAATGACTCAGTAGTCCTTGGCTAAATGCAAAATTGTTCTAGAAAGATCACATGATTGACCCTGTTTTGCATTTTGCTCATAAAAATCCTTCGGGGCTATGAATGAATATCTTGTTTTTAGAGATGTAGTCAGACTTTAGTTAGCTATTTAGCAATTTCAAAACAGGTCTTGTTAGGCATTTCCTAAATTTGATTGGTAATTTCCTTGAGCCCTAGTAAACTTGAATGTTTAAAGACAATATTTAACACACAGTGTCAGTTAAATTAACTATCAGAGTATGGTTTTCTCTCTTTTTCTATTCAATTAGCAGACATTTACTGAGCATCTACCACATTCCTGGCATTGTGCCAGGGGCTGAGACTATCAAAGGAATGCCCCCTGGGTTGTAGAATCAGGTGGTTGAGACAGATATTTAATCGAGCTGTCAAAGGAAATGATCAGTGCTACAATTGAAATAGAAATGTTCCATCACTGCACACTCTCTGTGTGGCCAGGACTCTTAGTGCAATAGATTGACCAACCCTTGACAACAGTGTCAGGAAGTACAGGGATAGGTGTCGGGGTGGGGATGGTGGGAGAACTGTTAAGCCCACCTACCATCTTTATCAACTTCTTTCTCCAAGCTACTACCGGTAACGATAATGATGGTAATTTCTTATTTGGGCAATTGATCTTTTCTCAGTCTTATATAAAGTATGACTAAAAAGATGTTTAGAAACTTTTAATTTTATTGAATTAAAAAACAGACTTTATTTCTTAGAGCAGTTTTAGATTCACAGCAAAATTGAGAGGGAGGGGGACACCTGGGTGGCTCAGTCAGTTAGGTGTCTGCCTTTGGCTCAGGTCATGATCCCAGGGTCCTGGGATCAAGCCCTGCATCGGGCTCCTTGCTCAGCGAGGAGCCTGCTTCTCCCTCTGCCTGGTTCTCCGCTCTCCCTGCTTGTGCTCTCTCTTTCTCTCTCTCTCTCTCTCAAATAAATAAATAAAATCTCTAAAAAACATTGAGAGGAAGGTACCCTTCTATCTCCCGCCCCACACATGCATGGCCTCCCCCGTTATCAACATCCCCCAACAGTGGGATACATTACAGTTCATGAACCTGCATTTTCATATCTACACACCATTTCCACCCCAAAGTCCATAGTTTACATTAGGATTCACTCTTGGTGTACATTCTATGGGTTTCGACAAATGTACAAGGACATGTACCCACCATCATAGTGTCACGCAGAATAGTTTCACTGCCCTAAAAGCCCTCTGTGCTCTGCCTGTTCACCCCTTCCTCCCCTGTGTTATTGAATTTTACGTATAACCTAAGCAAGAAGAGTTTACCTGAAGCTCAAAGCAGCTCCAACTAGACTGCCTGCCAGAGCCCTCCAAACACATTCTGGAATTACCACTGACGGTGTTAGCCCCTTTGGTCATTCATGCTTCTATTTGAGAGCTGCTGTATTTAGCACAAATGCCCAAAGTTGATGTCAGGATCTGTGGCATAAAATCCTGCATTTTAAAACCAAGGAGTGGGGTGGATGTGTTCATGGCCAACTTGTTGGTCACCATCCTCCCTCCCTCATCACACATTGACCGCATTCGTCTTTACAGAAAAGTTGGAAGTCCCCAGACAGAACCACCTGTGTACTCCTGTGGGTTGGGGGTTTTCTGTGCTCCAGATGTCTTGATTACAATACAAACAGACCTATTTGCTTTTAGGGAAGCAAATGTTTTCTGTGTTCAACTGAGCTTGTAAAATTTCATTAAGAAGCTAATCATCTGCCCTGATTAAGTAAACACTGGATGTTTGGCATGAATATTTTAACTTCCTATTTCCAAGCTGGCTCAGCCTTCTCGAGGTTACTGATTGTCATCTGGGACCAATAATTTTTCAGTCACCTGTGCAGTTTTCCACTCTAGCATCACAGACTGCCCTCCCCATCCCCATTCAACTGGGGAAGAAAACCAAGGCTCTCCCCGAGCCCCAGCCATGAAACTGGTCCTCTACTGCTCATTAGAGGACTTTTCTCTCACAGTCTAACCAGTCAATCTCATAGCTGCCGGCTCCCGTGCAGAGCAGGAGACTAAATTCTGCGTCTTTTGAAATTCAACTTGAGATTGCAACCATTTTCCATCCTTCCGCGTTTGCTTTTATAAACATTTTTTGGCTTTAACAAAGATCGGAGTTTTTCTTAGTGACATTAAGTATATGTCTATGAATATGTATTTAATATTAAGCATTTATTTTCAAACCTGGGAAAGAGCAAAAGAGATAAAGATGCACAGAGCTTAAAACAGTTGCTGACAGTGACTCAGACATTATTAATATTGTTACAGGCATGATGAACTGGAATGGTGGTAGAAAGGTTTTCTCTGGGGAAGAATACATTAGATACCATTTTCCAAAGTGTGTTTCTCAGAGTCTCAAACAAATCTGGCAAGTGTTTAGAAGGGGAAAAAAGAGGTTTTGTGGCTAAATAAAATTGGGAAGTACTCCTCCTGCAAAATTCCTGTGTGTTAGTGATTTATAGTATGCATTGCCATATTAAAGGCTGTGAGAATTTCTGAACAAATAAGAAATTTGTTCAACTTTCCTTTTTTTTTAAGATTTATTTATTTGAGAGAGAAGGAGAGAGAGAGCATGCAGGGGGAGGGGCAGAGGAAGAGGGAGAGGGTGGGAGAATCTCAAGCAGACTGTGCTAAGCCAGAGCCCAATGCTGAGCTCAACATGGGGCTCGATCTCACGACCCCAAGATCACAACCCGAGCCAAAATCAAGAGTTGGATGCCTAACCAACTACGTCACCCAGGCACCCCTGTTTAACTTTCTTGAACAAAGTGTTTTGCAAAGTCATTTGGCTACAAATGCCTACTTTTTTGTTTCCTTAATTTTAATCTATCACCTGGAACTGACCTTCAAAACCAGTAGAACACACTTGTACTTTGTTGTAGAATGAGAATCTCTGGAATAGTCTAGGGCAGTGGTTCTTGAACCTGAGTGTGCATCAGAATCCTGGAGGGCTTGTTAAAATACAGGTCGCTGGGTCTTACCCCCAGAGTTTCTGATTTGAGAAGTCCAGGGTGGGCTGAGAATCTGTATTTCTAATAAGTTCCCAGGGCATGCTGCTACCGCCGGTGGGGCCCACACTTTGAGAACAACTCGTCTGTGGTCAAGCTGGAAGGAAGACAAAAGTTCCAGGGGGTAGCGGTGGTACTACAGGGGTGGCGCTAGACAACGTGCAGGTTAATGCACTCCTGTGGTCTCTACTGACTGAGCCTGCTGTGTTCCAGGCACCGTGCGAGGTGCTGGGGATGCATGCATGGGTGGTGGACGCAGGCCTGGTCTTTGCCTTCAGGAGCTTACAGGGTAATGGGAAGGCAGGCAGTAAACAGGCACAGGAAATGAGTCAGTTGGTCCAGATAAATTGGGAAGACCCCTGCGAAGGAAGCCTATAGTGTGCTTTGATACCAAACAAAAGGTGGTCTGGAAAGATCTCTGGGAGGTGGCAGTGACATTGAAGCTGAGACAGGCCGTGAAAAACTGGGGGGCCCTGAGATGCTGAGGTTAATGATTTAGCCAGGATAAAGACATGTGTGAAGACCCTGATGGGTTAGGGGAGAGTGGCAAGTTCCAGAGCCAAAAGAAGGCCAGTGTGGCTGGAGGCCAGTTAGCAAGAGAGAAAGTGCAAGGAAGGGAGGTCGGAGAGGAGACAAGGAAGGGCCAGGTCATCAGAGCTCATTGATGGAGTTTGGGTTTCATCCCAAGTGCAGAAGGCTCCGGTGAGTATTTAAAGTTGTGTTGTGTGAAGGCAGGGATGTGAGGGGGAAGAGCAGATGCTGGGAGAGCAGCAGGAAGACCGTGGCTGGCATCAGGGTAGAAATGGGGCTGTGGTGTGGCCAGGGCTGCTGTGTACTCGTGGGCTTTAGGGGGCGCCACTCACATGGGTTGCTTGTATCTACCTGAGGTGGAGACACCTGGATGGCCTCCGGGTCTATTACAGAGGTGGATTAGACAGGACTTGATGATGGATCAGATGTAAGGCTCAACAAAGAGAGAGGTGCCAAGAACGACTCCTGGGCTCCTGGCCCGAGCAACAGACAAGAGAGGAGGAAGAGCGCGGAGAGACGGAGGAGGTGCCACTTCATTTCTGGGAGAGGGCCCAGAACAAAAGAGTTACTTTTCAGGAGACTGTGAAATGACCGTGGCCACTGTTATTCTGCAAACACAGTAATTGGCCTTTTGTTGGCACACAAAAGAAATGATGTTGGGGTTTGAGGAGCGTTCTTATTAGAGAGTTGCCCTATATATCACAGATCAGTGGCTGCCTGGTTGCCCTGAATTAGAAAACAAATAAGGCCATTTAACACTAAACATAATGTTGTCTTTCTCTAATAATTCAGAGAGCACTTCAGAATCTCACAGAGACCTATAGCATTGTGTGTAACAAACCACACCACAATTTACTGGTGAAAACAGCCGTTTTATTATGCTCATGGATTTTGTGGGTTAGGGATTAAGACAGGGCATAGCAGGATAGCTTGCCTGTGTTGCATGATGTCTGGGCTCCTCTGGAAAGACTTGTCAGCTGGGGTGCCTTGACACATATGAGGCGGGAGTCGTCTGGAGAGGTCTTCACTCCCATGTCTGGCGGGTGATGCTGGCTGTCAGCCTGCGCGCCTCTGCACGGCCTCTCCACCGGGCACAGGCCCTTCTTCACGGTACGGCGCCTACAGGCCAGTTGAACTTCTGACATGGCAGCTTAGGGCTCTAAAGGCAAGTCATCGTTGCAAAGATCTTGAATCTCTAAATTATCCAGGACAGGTAGCTGAGTCCATGTTCTGCTTAATAGAACGCTAGATCAGAAAGGGATTGCTGTGCTCAGCATGCTGCCTCAGGGATAATCGGATTTGGGGAAGAAGAGTCTCGTAAAAGGGAAGAGCTAGATGTTTTGCATTAAGCCAGATGACAAGGATATTCTTACTTTGGCTGTGAGCCAGTCATGTGGTAAACAAGTATTTTTCCACTCTCTTCCACTTGCCCGGCCCTGAGAGGTGAAGCCAGAAAGCAGAGTTCCTGCTTACTGGATAATAAAAGGATGTTTATAAACTAGGACATAATAAGAACAGGTTTGAGTTATTTAAACATTACATGGACGCAGATTTCCCAAGACCTCTACTCTTGGGTCCATTCTGATGGGCTTCATCCATCAGCTAGCAATGCACAGTGCTGCAGATTTGGACATTATTCTTGATTTGGGTTTTGGGTAGCCTCCGATGATTGTAACACACCGTCTAAGTTAGATGCTCTAGCCCTAAGATAAGATCCTGCATCTAAGGCAGCAGATTTCAAAAAGGAAAGTATAGGCATCCCAGGAAGTGTGCAAGATGATTCACTGGGGGCAGTAGAATACCTACTTTTTTTTTAAATTTATTTTTTATTTTGTTCATCTGATCCTGTGCGGGGCTTGAATTCACAACCCTGAGATCCAGACCTGAGTTGAGACCAAGAGTCAGATGCTCAACTGACTGAGCCAGCCAGGCGCCTTGAATACCTACTGATATCTCTTAAAAATTTTTTAATATATATTTTTGTATGCATCTTATAGAATATTAAATCTAATAATATAGTAGCGAGTTTATAAAATTTATGAATGACTAGTTAAGTAAGTAATTTTGTTTGTGCTCAAAAAGTTGCTTTTTTCATTGATGGGGAGTTTATCCCTTATAGCTAATAGTATCGAAACTTTCTTATGCATACAAATCACCTGGAGAAACTTGATTTTTCTGTGCTCCGTGCAAGAGAGTTTAGAATTTGGGGAATTGGTTCACACTATCTGAGCTCACAGGAGACTGATTTATAAACCAAAATGCCAAATTTATAATTTTCTGATAGCTTGAAAACCAGACTTAGCATTTATACATATTAGGCTTATTTTTTTTTTTTTTTGGACAAAGTAATTTCTCTGAGGATGGGAAATATCAGACAAAAGGCTTGATGAACCTTAAACTAGAAAGAAAATTTGGGGTTCCTAAAGGCTGTTTGCAAGAAGCCAATGCAGTGTAGTAGTGGGTTATTCTTGGGATAGAATAGTGGCTAACGGTGTGAATTCTGGTGGCCAGACTACCTGTGTTCCAGCAGTGACCCAGCCGCCTCCCAGCTGCAGTGTGACCTTGGGCTAAGTAAGGAACCTCTTTGTGCCTCTTTCTCCATCTGTAAAATGTGGACGCTCATAGTTTATACTCACTCTGAAAATGCTTAGATCAGGGGCTGGCACAGGCTAAGAAACCAATCAATGTTGGTGATTCTTCTCTATTCTAAGCATGTTTCTTCCTAAAGAATTTCATTTTCGTCTAGAATCAGCAACTCCTGGAGGGATAGTCTTATCACTTAACATCCTCTTTTCAATATTCCTCAATTTCGTTTGGTGCCTTTGTCATTTCAGTATCTGAATCCCTTATGGGACTGGGATTCTTTCTGTATCCCCAGAACCTATCATGATGCCTGGTTCTGAAACACTGCCCTTAAGAGTTTATGGCTTTACATGTGCCTTAGAGCAGGTCTTTGGATTGCAGTTCATTTGGTCCAAATTGTATTGCTTTTGGCCAAAGGCATGAGCAGACTTAGAAAGAAAAGTATAGATCCCAGTTGCCAACTCAAAAGCTTCGGAGTCTAGCAGGTGGTTCCTTCTGGTGGGTGAAGAAGGCGCTGGTGGGGTGAGGGGAGAGCGGTGCTGACCTAGAGCATTTGTGCCCCAATAAAGACATCCAGATTTAGATTTCAGAAACCTGTGCGGGCCAAGCAAGATCTCTGAGCAGATTTGGGGTCTAATTTTTGAGCTCTGGTATAGATCAAGATAGGGCTAGATAAAAATGTACAAATATGTTTTATTGCTTCTCCTACAGTGTGAATTTAAGGGCTAGAACAGTGTCATTTCTCTCTGTGTGAAACCTCTCTCTCCAGGCCCATTGTAAAAACGATGAGAAAGCCCTTCTCATTTCGTAAAATGAGTCAAATCATTTACATAACCAGTATGTTAAGCGCATTATCAAAAGTAAGTCCGAGTTTAAATGCTGCTATGTATAAGTAAGGGCTCATAGTTACTGCTAAACGTTTCTCTCACTGGGTAAGTTTGAGGGTGAATGTTTCCTAATGCCAAGCACCTTCTGTCATCAGTAATGCTTCTGCAGGTCGTATTTAATGGTGAGTTAACTCCCAGGAAAACTCAAGCATTTGGCTAATCTGTCCATTGTCTTTTAGACACCGAACTGCATTTTCTGAACTTCTCTAGAGTTCAGGGGCTCTTCTTAACCAATCTCTCTTCCTAGCTGCTCACAGGAGCTTGCCCACAGGAAATGAGATGTATCTTGTGACCCACTATCTGTGGTTGGGGCTCACTCTGCCTTTACGTCACCCCAGTAATTACAAGTGACTGTGGCAGCAATTAGAATTTGTTCACCAAAGATGAAAGGCTTGTCTGGTCAGCTCTTCTGGCAAGTGTCACCTCCCACAATGTTGAGCGTATCTTGATTTTGTTCATCTGATCCTATGCATCTCTCGTTACAAGACCTGCTAGCGAAGATGTTTATGTGGCCCTTGGGCATATTTTCTCTCTTCCTGTTTGGCTAGTGCCATCTTGATTACCCTGGAATTTAGTTGAGAATGGGTCGGACACCTTAACCTCCCCCACCTCTGTCCCCAGCCTATCTTCTCTCCCTCCTTCCATCAGCCAGCCAGAACGGGCATGTTGGAGAAAGAGTGAAAACATGGATTAAATAATACCAGGCAATGTTTGTTGATTGCTCACCATACAGTAGGAACTGTGCTAAGTGCTTTATGAGCAGCATTTCATTCCATCTCACATATCCCCAGGAGGTAGGTTCTATTCCTGTTTCCACTTTACAAAGAAATGGAGGCTCAGGGGAGGGTTAGTGACCTGCCTGAGGTCATATAGCTCTAGGTGGCAGGGTCAGTCCTTGAACAGGGTCCTTCTGCCTCCAGAACCCACCAGGTTATACTGGGCCATCCTCAGAGGTGGCTAAAGTCCAAGGCAGAGGCAGCTAAGTCTAAACAAAGCCTGGGGACCAAGAGGAAGGGACTACTATTTGGGAGAGATATTGCTTGGAAAGCATTGCTAGGAGGGCCTGGGGGAGGTTGAGGGCTAAAAAGTAAGC